GATGTCAATATAAAATCCTAATGAGGTCAATATAACATCATAAGGAGGTAAATATAACATCCTAAGGACGTTAATATTACATTCTATTGAGATTAATATAATATTCTGAGGTCAATATAAAATCCTGATGTCAATATAACATTCTAATGAGGTAAATATAACATCCTAATGAGGTCAAAATAACATCCTAATGAGATTAATATAATATCCTAATGAGGTAAATATAATATCCTAATGAGGTAAATATAACATCCTAATTAGGTCAATATAACATCATAAGGAGGTAAATATAACATCATAATGAGGTCAATATAACATTCTAATGAGATTAATATAATATCCTAATGAGGTCAATATTACATTCTATTGAGATTAATATAATATTCTAATGAGGTCAATATAACATCCTAATGAGATTAATATAACATCCTAATGAGGTCAATATTACATTCTATTGAGATTAATATAATATCCTAATGAGGTTAATATAATATTCTAATGAGGTCAATATAACATCCTAATGAGATTAATATAACATCCTAATGAGGTCAATATTACATTCTATTGAGATTAATATAATATCCTAATGAGGTCAATATAATATCCTAATGAGGTAAATATAACATCCTAATGAGGTAAATATAACATCCTAATGAGGTCAAAATAACATCCTAATGAGATTAATATAATATCCTAATGAGGTAAATATAATATCCTAATGAGGTAAATATAACATCCTAATCAGGTCAATATAACATCATAAGGAGGTAAATATAACATCATAATGAGGTCAATATAACATTCTAATGAGATTAATATAATATCCTAATGAGGTCAATATAACATCGTAAGAAGGTAAATATAACATCCTAATGAGGTCAATATTACATTCTATTGAGATTAATATAATATTCTAATGAGGTCAATATAACATCCTAATGAGATTAATATAACATCCTAATGAGGTCAATATTACATTCTATTGAGATTAATATAATATCCTAATGAGGTTAATATAATATTCTAATGAGGTTAATATAACATCCTAATGAGGTCAATATTACATTCTATTGAGATTAATATAATATCCTAATGAGGTCAATATAATATCTTAATGAGGTAAATATAACATCCTAATGAGGTAAATATAACATCCTAATGAGGTCAAAATAACATCCTAATGAGATTAATATAATATCCTAATGAGGTAAATATAATATCCTAATGAGGTAAATATAACATCCTAATCAGGTCAATATAACATCATAAGGAGGTAAATATAACATCATAATGAGGTCAATATAACATTCTAATGAGATTAATATAATATCCTAATGAGGTCAATATAACATCGTAAGAAGGTAAATATAACATCCTAATCAGGTCAATATTACATTCTATTGAGATTAATATAATATTCTAATGAGGTCAATATAACATCCTAATGAGGTCAATATTACATTCTATTGAGATTAATATAATATCCTAATGAGGTTAATATAATATTCTAATGAGGTCAATATAACATCCTAATGAGATTAATATAACATCCTAATGAGGTCAATATTACATTCTATTGAGATTAATATAATATCCTAATGAGGTCAATATAATATCCTAATGAGGTAAATATAACATCCTAATGAGGTTAATATAACATCCTAATGAGGTTAATATAACATCCTAATGAGGTCAATATTACATTCTATTGAGATTAATATAATATCCTAATGAGGTCAATATAATATCCTAATGAGGTAAATATAACATCCTAATGAGGTTAATATAACATCCTAATGAGGTCAATATTACATTCTATTGAGATTAATATAATATCCTAATGAGGTCAATATAATATCCCAATGAGGGAAATATAACATCCTAATGTGGTAAATATAACATCCTAATGTGGTATCCTAATGAGGTAAATATAACATCCTAATGTGGTAAATATAACATCCTAATGAGGTCAATATAACATCCTAATGTGGTAAATATAACATCCTAATGTGGTTAATATAACATCCTAATGTGGTAAATATAACTTCCTAATGTGGTAATTAAAACATCCTAATGAGGTAAATATAACATCCTAATGAGGTAAACATACTAATATGCTAATAATGACATTATGATCTCATGAACGTGGTCCTGCTTAATAGTGGTATTTTATATATTTAAAATACTGGAAATCTACACTAGGTTTGTAGGTTTAACATATCAGTGTACAAGCACTGATCAAAACACTCATATTTTATCTGAACTCCATTATTTTATTATTTTATATATATTAAATAGTCAATGTTTGCATTAGTTGTACACAATGTATTATAATCTAACTTGCAACAGATGTTAGGTACATGTGTCCTAGTTGCATACGTGCTATGTGTCATGTGTGCCGGTGCAGACTTAACACACCCATCCTACCAAACAAAAATTAATATCTCCATAACTTTTCATCAAATCCAAACAATTGATAGTATACATGTAATTTTTTGTCAGACTTGTTTCATTGATAGCTACTCTGTACTACAGACTATTTAATCCTACAACTTCCACATTTCTCTAATTGAAATCGCTGTGCAGCCTGTGAGACTTATTGTTACCCCGTATTATACCACTATTGGTCATGTGACCTGTTCTTGCTCATTATTAAAATAGATTTCTCTATTAACACTGTAAAGATAATGTTAATCAAGTTTTTACATTGTATTTACTCAAAAGTACATAAAACTGAATCAGTTCCTTGTGTTGTAATACTTCAATGTACATTATGGCTTCTTTGATTAATGTACGTTTTGGTTGCTGGCTGGTTATCTGTATAAATTTGTCATGATTGGTTGAATCTAGGAATCCATCTTTATAGGTTTTGGCTGTTGCATATCCGTTTCTCTGTTGCTTGCATATAAGATGCAGTTGGTTTTAAAATGTCCATCTTCAATTTTGTTACATTATTCACAGGTTCTATTCTCCAGTAGGATTTCAGGTCATTGATGTTGACCTCTTTCATTGTTCAGCTTGGACAACTCATTCTAAATATTGCAAATAACCCGATTGCTTTTTTGTCATTGAGTTTTTCTAAATGTTCGTTTGAAAGTCGTTAATTTTGATATTCGTTATATAGTTCTTAAAAAGATTATTTGTATATTAACTGGTTCAATATATTTTTTTTTGAGATCATGTAGTTTAGATAACCAGTAGTTTTTAGTTCAACGGACCGTAGCATTTTGTAAATGCACAAGACCGATGACTCAAATCTACATTTTCCTGTTATTCCATGGAGTGTGTTTCCTGTTGTGTTGATGTACCGGTAATCATCACCCATCAATGTTTCTTTCACCAGAAATCCCCAAACATGAAGATGTCAAAGTTCAACTTGATTCATGGCGTGTCTTGAACGTTGCCGTGGGTGCCTATGCCACTAATAAAGTATCTGGTCTTACCAAAATAGCCAAGTCTGTTATCCTGCCTCTAGCAGATTATCACGTCTCCGTTTTCTGCATGTCTACTTACCAGACTGACTTTATTTTGGTGAGTTTATTATAGATACCACTCAGAAAGTTGTTGCCATTTTGAAATTACAATTCTGTGTACCTAATTTGCTGATCACTAGGCTAGTAGCATAACTATTCACTGTTACCTTCTATTTTCATTTCTGGGTGAGATGATGATAAATTATATTATTATACATCTGTTACCGTAAAGCCATAAGTTACAGTGTGCCATAATTTTGCGGTATTTTACCATATCCCCCGGTATATAGAAATGCGAATTCCAAATATAGAATGATTACGTGCGTAAGTGTCCTGTAACAATATAAAAACAAACATTGCTGCCACCAGGGTTTGACTGGACTCCACACAAAGAAGTTTGCTGATTCTGTTCTAAACTTTTTGAACTCGATATTTGAGTTGATCGATACTCTCGCTGTACTGTCTTTGTGCATACTTTGAGGTATCCTCGTAATAAATAATCTATAAATAATATGTTCTCAGGTGAAGGAAGATGATATGAAAGCTGCAATTGAATGTTTGTCATTTAAGTATAATATTTTCCAAGAGAAAGATGGTGAGATGATACCAGTACCAGTGAATCATCCGGTAGATGAAGACAAACTACAAGATCCAGGTAATTTTACTCAAAAGAAAGTACGGAGGAAGAGAAAACAGCACCATCAATGGATGGGTTTTTAACTCTGATGACAAACAATGAGTCTAGTTCAGGGAATTACCTTGAATATGTTTGTAAAATTGAACACTATCCACGTTACCCACTGTCCTGGCCGTATCCTGGTGTTACCCACTATCATGGCCATATCCCAGTGTCACCCACTATCATGGCTATATCCCAGTGTCACCCACTATCATGGCCATATCCCAGTGTCACCCACTATCATGGCCATATCCCAGTGTCACCCACTATCATGGCCGTATCCCAGTGTCACCCACTATCATGGCCGTATCCAGGCGTTACCCACTATCATGGCTATATCCCAGTGTCACCCACTATCATGGCTATATCCCAGTGTCACCCACTATCATGGCTATATCCCAGTGTCACCCACTATCATGGCCGTATCTCGGTGTTACCCACTATCCTTAATTTTTGAAAAAATCTTTTGTGAAAGGTGAAAAAAATGACTTTTGTGCTCCGAATTGTCTGTGAAGTACAGGTCAAATGGACTAGTAGGGTTAGGGTTTTTGGGAGTAAGCCTTACCATCAGAATGTCACATTTTACTAAATAAACCTGCATAATTTTTAATGTTAATCAAAATCTACAACTAATTTATGCGTATTTGTGCAATTTTAGTGAGAAAGAATGAAGGGTGAAAACTAGCTGGTTCTAAGGATAGAACATAAATTTCAGCATATTTATCTTTACAACTATCTAGTAAAAACTGATATGCACTAATGATGACTTTGTTTTTTTATTCAGGTACACCAAGACCTATTGTGCACCCATTTACTGTTCCGTTGAATCGATTTTCAATCAGAAGCCTAGATCCAGAAACACTGCCTAATGTAGCCACAGTCCTCTTAGAACTTATGTTCTATTCAGACAGGTAGGAATTTCTTGCCAAAAGTTTGTGTTAAATCTGGACCAAATAATTTCATCTTCCCTGAAGGGATTAATCGAATTTATACAAAAACAGTTATGCAGGCTAATTATGTATTTTTCTTAATTTTATTTGTTTTTGATCAAATAATTTCCTGCAGGTACTCGTCTTTGTTTTTGATATTTGACTTTGAGTTGACTTTGGCGTTCAAAACTTTAATTAATAACGTCTTGATGAATCAAAAGTTTAGCGATCATTCATCAACACATTTAATTAATTGAAAAGACAACACCATTCTATGTGTTGAATTCCCAGCAATAAAAAATGTTTTTTATTGTTTCTTTTACTTTATGAATTGTTCTGTTTGCAGTTTATCAACTTCTCCACAAGATGGTCATGATCGTTTTTTTTCCTATTCAGTGGTAGATGGTGACATATCACTTGTACTAGATAGTGAAGCTCTTGTAAAGTAAGTTACCATGGGTTACTGTTAGTAACCATGAGTTACTGTAAGTTACCATGGGTTACTGTTAGTAACCATGGGTTACTGTTAGTAACCATGAGTTATGATAACTCACCACAAGTTACCATAAGTTATATAAATTCAAATACCAAAAGATATATTTAATTCTCTAATTTTGGTGAATATTTTTGTCATTTTTGGTAAAAAGTGATATTTTCGACTTCTTGTTAAAAACTGTAAGTCCGATTGCTTTGATACTATTCATATTGTTCATTTTCTAATGATGTCTTCAGTTTTTTAATTGCCATGTGCATTGCTAACAGCGGAGCTATCTCAGCCGATAGGCTGCTTGTTAAAAGAAAAAAATTAGGAATTATACAGACACTGCGTATTAATCTATTAATTTGTTCTCATTTTCTTGAAAAACATATTTTTGCTCGATTAGACCATTTACATCCACATCTTGGATGCACTTATACTTTTTTAGCTCCGCTGTCGACTTTGTCGAGCGGAGCTTATCATATGAGTGATTGTCCGTCGTCGTCCATCGTCGTCGTCGTCGTCGTCGTCCGTCGTCCGTCGTCCGTGTCAATGTTTTACTTTTTCGACTTCTTCTTGAAAACTACAAGCCTAAATGCTTTGATACTTGGTGTATATGTATCTTGGGTAGACCTCTCTTAGGTTTGTTCATTTCATGTTGATATCTTTAATTCTCTAATTTTGGTGAATATTTTTGTCATTTTTGGTAAAAACTGATATTTTCGACTTCTCGTTAAAAACCGCAAGTGCAATTGCTTTGATATTACATATATAGGTACTACATGTGGATCTCTCTCAGATTTGTTA